AGGAACAAAATATTACTAAATGCAAAATTTGGGGAAATATGCAGTGTGGGGAAAAAGAGTCAATCCCAACAGACTACATGCTGTATGTATGATTCCATTTTATATAACAGTCTAGAAATGACAGTATTCTAGAATTACAGAACCAAGTAGTGGTTATACGAATTTAAGGACAATGGGAAGGACGCACGGGAGTGAAGTGAACGTGACTGTAAAGACAGCAAGAGAGGTCCTTGGGGTAAAGGAAATGGTCTGTATCTTGGTTGTATCAGCATAAATATCCTGGTCCTGGTGTGGCGCTGTAGGATCAGCACTGAACTGCAAACCAAAAGGACGGCAGTTCAAACCCACCTGCTGCTCCTCAGAAACCCTATAAAGGGTCACTATGAGTCGGAATCACCTCAACTCAACCACACTTGACAACCACAGTATTGCAAGATGTTACTATTGAGGGGCATTAAGTGAAGAGTACATAGGATTTCCCTCTATTATTTCTTACAACTGCATATGAATATACAAATATCTCAAAATAAAAAGTTTAATTTAGTTAAGGAATTATTGCGAGGGAAGGGGAGTCATGTAAAAAAATGTATCACCTCTTTTCTTCCTCTGCCCACCCAGGCTGAGGGAAGCAATTGATACCTTTCTGCAAGGGAGACAAGGAAGAAGGAAGGAAAGGGGAGGGGGGAGGGGGGAGGAGGAAGTGATTGACCTTTGCTATCATCACCAGTGGATAATTCTGTCTTTATGGAGGGAAGCTCAGTCCCTCAGGGGTGTGTAGCTCAGCCTGGATGCTTCTCCCTTGTACACAACACTTAATGGAAGGAAAGCAGAAATCCAGCTGTTCTGGAGACTCTGCAGAATTGTCCTGTGGGGGTCAGTGGTTTTCTGACAGTTTATCCAGAACCCCCGGCTTTCCTGAGTGGTCCTGGAGATCCTCAGGACTAACTCCAGCAGAGAAGTTCTGCTTCTGCTCCTGAGAAATGCCACATTTTAATGTAAAGAATGTGTCTGTTATTAAACATTTTTGCATGCTACATAAACCCATTATTTTCATAAGCATGCTATACCAATATGCTTTTACATGTTGCTACCTTTTTAATACAATTTTTTTCCTATGCTGATGCTAATTTGATATTAAGTTTTCATCCTGGTACCACTGATGTGGAGGTTTAGTTCCCAGCAGCAGACCTTCTGGAGCCTACCCTCGAGTTTATAAAGCTGGTCCTCTCCAGGCGAGGTTTCTTCCCTGCTCTGCAAACCACTTTCTCCAATGCAGGAAGAAATCATGTTTTCTGCCCTGAAGACAGCCCTCAGGCCAGGAGGTGTGCAGGTCTGTGTACCCCAGGTCCAAGAGGCCACTCAGACAAGCGAGGCCATAGATGTGCACATTCCATTTTGTCACCTGGGTAGCCTGTCACTGCACTGGTTGTTGTTGTTAAGTGCCTCTGACTCATAGCAATGCTGTATAGGGTTCCCAAGGAACACCTGGTGAATTTGAACTGCAGTTCAAACTGACCTTGCTGTCCAGTGCATTATCCCACAGTTCCACACCAGGACTTTTGAATCTCTCGTCCATGTGAATACCACAAGGTAGGCATGGGGGCCACAGGCACAGAGGGGCTGTGCATTCCTCACTCAGTTGAGACAGTTCTAGCTGACCCCCTATGGGCTTCTTGGGGCCAAGGCAGTGCACACCTGTGCCTGCACCTGCTCCATCCTGCTGCCCAGCTTCATGTAGGACCAACAACATGGAGTCTGGACACATGCAAGAAACACACCTACTGTTCATCTCTAACATGACATGCCTGGGTACAGCTTAGCTACAAGGAACTCCAAGGCTCTCAGCCCTAGCTGTGAACTCCCCTAGGGCAAACACACAGTTTCAATGATTTATTTTCTGATTACTGAGGTGCTACAAAACTCAATCTATAACTTCTTGATCCTGCTGTATACCTTTATTATACAAATATGATGAGGACTAGTGAAAGAGGGTGAAAGAGGCTGAAGTCAACTTCTAGAAATGTCATGAGACACATGTGGTATATGCATGGGCTCACTATGCCAGAACTTTTTTTTTTTGCATACTTTCTTCATTTGGGCCTATTATATGTGTGTTTATGTTATTTACATGAGCATGTTATTTGTGAAAAATATGGTTATTTCCTCTAAGTGAAAGAAGACGATTTCTTTCACTAAAAGAACATTTGAAGACTGGGAGAACATTTGAAGACCATTTTCTGCCTAAATGACCTTGGCAACTTACTTCATTTCTCTGGATGTCTGTTTCCTCATGAATAAAATTAAAGTACTAGCAGTGATCGTCATGGGGATTAAATGAAACAATGCATTTAAGCACTTAGCATGGTGCCTGCTTTCTCTAAGTGCAAAAAAATATATGTTGGATATTTTTATTTTATCTACTCCTCGCTTCTCTGCATGATTAGGTTCCAAAGCCCAGGTCGTTATGGGAAAATCAGCCATTATATAAAACTGGAGGATAATTACATCAGATCACAAAATGGAGGGTTTTGTGGAGCCGTTATATAACTACCAGATTAAATCATCACATAACTGCCAAATGTAACATTACATAATTGCCAAATCACTGAGAACACGGCCCAGCCATACTGACACATAACCTAAACCATCACTGCCAGAGCTACTCTTGCACTTTGGCATTTGCTACTGCCATGTGTACATTTTTAATGCACAAAATAGTTGGGTAGTTTTTTTTTCACTATCATATTAAATGTAAAATGTTGAATAGTGAGATAGTCAATAAGTGAAGACTAAGTGTGTGTTTTTATAATACGAATAATCCTCTCACCTCCTGCTATAATAGCTGGGGATACAGAGGCTTAAGGAGTCCTGGTATGGTGCTGTGGGATAAAGCACTGGACTGCAAGGTCAGTTTGAACCACAATAGTAGAGGTTCAAACTCACGAGCTGCTCCCTGGAAACCCTATACAAGGTCACTATGAGTCAAAACTAACTCAATGACACTTAACAATAACAACAGAGGCTTAAAGAGATGAAAGGATCTTTCTAAGGAGTTAGTTCATCAAGAGAGAACTGTTGTTGTTGTTGTTATGTGCCAGGGAGTCGGTTCCGACTCATAGTGACCCTGTATAGGGTTTCCGAGGCTATAAATCTTTACGGGAGCAGAACGCCTCATCGTTCTCCCGTGGAACAGCTGGTAGTTTCAAACTGCTGACCCTGAGGTTCGCAGCCCGATTCGTAACCACTACGTTACCAGAGCTAGGCCCCAAACAGGATCTTGCTATGATCCTGCAGCTAAAGGCTTGCTGAGGGACATCCACTGATCACTGTCCCTGGGATAAAGCTATTCAGTGCCAAGAGTTATATACCTCTGGGTGTAAAGTAAGCAGAAGGCTATAAAGCTGTCAGCCATGCTCTTGTATTTTCATTCCCAGGCTCTTCCTGCTCCCTTGAGATGCAGTCACTCTGCTTTGTCGTTTATATTCCTACCTTGGGAGCAAGTTTAGATGGCAAAGTCTACCCCTGGACAACCTCCACTTGATTACAAGGCATTATTGAAATTATTAATGCTTTATTAACTGACAAGGCAAGTAAGGCCTCCCTAAGCCTCGATTTCTTCATGTCTCAGAGAGAATAATAATATTCTCCAGTGCCCAAGTAGTTAGAACAAGCAAATGAAAATGTGATTTGTTAGGGTTTTTATTTTCCTCAAAAAACACACACAGAGAAAGGGTAAAACAAATTGGGGGAGGGAGAAGGAAATCATCACATTTAAAACTGGAAAACAAGTTCAGACTTAGATTGGATATGGTATACTACATCAGCAACAGTTTTATTAATAGCTAAATGAGGTTTTGAAAGCAAGGAATTGAAAAAGAAAATATTTTTATTTAAAAATCAGCAAAAATAAAAGTGGGCAGCACATATTATTTATTACATTTCCAGGTAGAAGCTTAGCTCCATGTGTCAACACTTACTTCCTGAAAGTTCCTAAGAAACAACACACATTTGTTTGTTCTTTAGTTTTAGTAGGTTTTTCATTTAAAAAAGCTTACGAATGCAACATGTTATTTGGTCAGTTTTCTAAACTAGTTTCAGGACTCTAGCTGCAAGAGAGAGAACAGAAATTAAGAGGGAAGAGACCTACTAACTATGCAGATATTTTCATTAGCAATAAAAGGGAAACTTCATAGATAACTTAAAAAAAAACAAATCAATTAAACAATTCTATTCAAACAATGCATCACCTTCTATACAATGTTCAGGACTGGGTTAGGTGTATTCCATTTGTTGCATTGTCTCCTTTAATCTCCATTCACTCTCTAAGACAGGGACTGGTTACTCTGTTTCACAGATGAGCAAACTGGGACTCAAAAGAAACCAAGTAACTTGTCTGAAATTCCATAGGTAAAAAGTGGCAGAGCTAGGATTGAACCCCAATATTTGCCCCAACTTGTGGTTGTTCATTATTAAGTTTAGTACCATGCCCTTAAAATAATAATAATAATAATCAAACTATCTGAAAAGTCAAAAGATTTCTCCACCCTAGTTGGTGGTCTACTCTTTTAAAGTCATACTTAAGAAAACAAAACGCAAGTGGGGCATGACTACTTTTAGCATGATAAGGAGTTCATTTTTTGAAGTGGGATTTAGGCTTTTGTTTGCCTGCATATCTTTTCCCTTTCTTTCAAGTTTGCCTTCTGGCTGCTGCTACATTGCAATGTTTTCTCTTAGACTTGAAGCAGGAATCTGTTTACCAAAGCAGGAAATGGAAAATTCTGCATACTTTCATTGACTGTAAAGTCTACCTTGGAAATCCCCACAGAAATTAACACCATGATCAGTGACCCTGGAATTTCCCCAACCACTGAGATAAAGCCTCATCTAGATCGATATTCAGAAGGCTGAGTAAATGGAATACTGCCATTTTTCATAATTGCTTTAATCCTGAAATGGGTAGGTTAACTGCCTTGTAATATGATTTTTCATGTTTATTTCAGCAACTTATGAAGTTGGCATTGAAGAACTTCAAAAGGTATTGTGTTCTTTCTCCTTATCAACTTTATAACTAAATAAAGTATAACCAGTTTACAGAGGTGATCTAAAATAGTTTCTTTCATGAGGGAGGAGGGGTCGTCTCTGTTTTCAGTTTTCCTCCTCTTTCTGAGGCTTGTTCAGACTTGAAGTGCTAAGATTCTGAACACTGAGCTCTGCAGTTTCAGAGATAGAAAATGTCTGATGGGATGGGAGGAGTTAGTCCTAATCTATTCACAGTCCCTTATCTATAGCAGCCAGCAACCACTGGTCTTATTAGCTGTCCTTTTCAGGGAGAAGAGTTCTCGGGCACAATTTAAAGCTGCATACCCTGTGCTCTCAAGGAAATGACCAGACCCGTCAATGTATATATGGAGTCCTAGTGTGATGCTTCTAGGATAAGCACTGGACCTCAAGGTCTTTTGAACTGCAAGGTCGGAAATTCAAACTCACCAGCCACTTCTTGGAAACCCTATACAAAGTTGCTATGAACCGAACTGACTCTTAAGGCACTTAGGCACTTAACAACAAGAACACTCCCTGCTAGGCACTGTGCTAAATTCTATCTTAAAAACAAAGCAACTGTTTGAATCCCAGCTTTTCCACTTCCTGGCTGTGTCACGCATCTTGAACCTCCATTTCTTCATCTATAAAATGGGAGTCATAGATGTACCCACATCTGTGATTATTGTGAATGAAAATAAGGCAAATGCAGGTAAACCATTTAGTGGGGAGTGTCTGGAACCAAGCATTTTGCCTCTTTGAGCTTCAGCTTGCTGTTCCTGGTTGGCACAACTGGTTGACATATTCAACTGCTAAAAGAAAAGTTGGAAGTCTGACCCCATGGAGATGCTTTGGAGATCTAGTTCTGAAAACTCAGCAGTTGAAAACCCCACAGAGCAGTTCTACCTTGACATACTTGGGGTTGCCATGAGTCAGCACCAACTCGATGGCAACTAGTGTTGGGAGAGATGCAAGTAGAGCCTCAACTATGTCCTCTGTACAATGGAGTATTCACCACGATGGCAGGAAGCATATGCTTATGGTTACTGTGTCCGAAAAAATATATGCTCAGTATATATGAAGGCCAATACTTATTTCACTGAATAGCTGAAGGAACTAAAACAAAGCATATAAACACCTACTGCATCCCTGGCACCTGGTAGACGCTCACCTCATGTTTTTTAATGGGGTCTGTTCAGTTTCAACTCCTTTATCACTGAGTACATTTTGTCTAGTTCCTTCATCTCTCTGCTTTGGTTTTGTTATGGTTACTTTTAAGGATGACTCATTTGTGGGTACACGCTCTATAGCTAGGCAAATAAAAAGGATTGTTATTTCTATGAATAAGAATAGAAACATCCTATTGAAATGCTTCACTAAACCTGACAATATTACAAAATCCTAAATTGTTCTGCACTAGTGAACTCCCCATATGACTGAATTTTACCCTGCTCAAATACAAAACATGAAAGTATATTTAATTTTTTTAAATCGTTTAAACCTCAGGCATGTCTTATGTTCACCTTTGCATGTTTTAATGAAAGGTGAGTAGAAATTGACTCCAGCCCTTCTTTTTTTCAAGATAAAAAAAAAGAAAGAAAGAAAACTTTTCATTGTGAATTGGGTGAAGGCTTACAGAGAGGATAAGTTTTCTGTTTGTTTTGTTTTAAGATTTTTATTGTGGTTTGAGTGACGGTTTACAGGGCAGATCATCAATTTTACATTTAACAAGTCATACATCTTGTTTCATTACAATGATTATAATCCCCTCCATGTACCATCAGTTAATAGTATTTCTCTATTCACTTTAGCTTTTAAAAAAAAGAAACACTAAGACATATATAATAATTTACACCTCCAAAGGGCACATTCTGCAAGTCTGACTCCTGGCCACCAGCTCTCAGTCCCTTGATTCCCATGAATCCAGAGTTCTCAGCCACTCCACCTCTCTACGCCCCTATCTCTTCCTCCATCTCTGGCATCACTGCTTCTCTGGATAAGGTTCTGCATTCTGCTTGTGTTCTTCTTCCTTGATGGTCCTAGGGTCCTCTGTTTCTGGGCTGTAAGACTAACCACTCCCCTATTTTTGTTACAAAACTTCTACCTTTACAATTGTGACAGTCACAATTAGTCATGATAACAATTATTCACCATTGAATCATATGAATCTTATCCCTATCACTTTTTACTAGACCCATCTAGCAAGGTGACAGGTATCCAGTGGGGACTCTTTCTTCCCCCATACTGTTAAACTAAACTCCCTCTTGAAACCTTGTAAGACAGTCACTTCCTGCCTTTATAACTCCCTCAGTTTAGTTAGCCAATGTCTAAATTGCCCGTCCCCATCTACCATGTGTACAGAGGGGATAGCTTTGATGCTTGATGTGAAGACTCCTTCCCTCTCTGTTGGTATTTAGAGTTACTACTCCATGAGTATAGGTCAAATTCATTAAATTTGTAGCAATTTACCCTTGATCAAGCCATCGAGGCTAGTTCAAATGGGTACTGTCTGCAAGTTTGGGTGTTGTTGTGCATCTCCCCTCACTTCATATCAGCTGGATGCCTTACTCTCGCTCTAGCCCTCTGTGGCTATGTCCTTGTCCATGGGCTAAGGTGACCTCAGGTCTCACTACACTTTGGACCAACAGTTCTTCCTCTTCGCTCTCTCATCTCCAGGTCAATAGGAGTCAATGGACTGTGGTTGAACTCAGCCCATTTCTTCATTGATGCCTTTCCCCCTCTTCCACTCACCAGTCGACCAATGTGGTCTCCAGCAAGCTTACATGCCTGTTTGTGTGTTCCTTTTGAGTTTCAGTCTTACAGGGGAGTTTGTCCTGAAGGAACTTGATTGCTTGCCTTGATGGCTTCCTGGCGAACAGCTTATTCTTGTAGTAGTCAGTCATGCTGACATTTTTGTTTTGGGTTTTTCCTGATGATCTTTCTTTGAAGATGTATCTTCTGTTGCTCTAGCTATTCCAGGCTGGTTTGCTTGTCCTTTCTAGTGGGAATGTCCCACCTCATAAGGTTCTGGATGGAACTCAGAATTCCACCTAAGGTCCTATACTCTGCAAATGCTTTGCAAGAGGCCTATTTCACTGTGTAAGCTCTACAACCCATTTTAGATATTCCAATCCGTTATAGGCTGAAGACGGGCTTCCAAGTTTTCTGTAATCATGTTTATCGACATTCCTTTCTATTACACTCAAGTGTCTATTTTACAATAGTAGGCAAGGAAAACCAATATTCATAAGACAATCAAGCATCTTAGTATTATTTCCCCTCTTCGAGCTATGCCTAGATCCCTGTATTACACAGAGGAACACAGATCCTGTGTACCTTCTTTCACATTATAATTGTTTTGATCACAGACTGACCTCCCAGATCCTCTGTTCTTATAATTTTATTCTGTTCTTGACTCTTCCATTTGTCAGTTGAGTTCAGGGTGATGCTGCCATGTACGTCATTCTGTGGTTGTTGTCTGTTCTTGTTGGTTCTCAATCCACAGAACATCCTTTAAGATGTTTTTTATAGCAGGGTTGGCTTTTGCAAAATCCCTTAGCTTCTGTTTATCCTGGAATGTTTTGATTACACCATCATATTTGATTGACAGCTTTGCTGGGTAGAGGATTTTTGGTTGAAAGTTTTTTTCTATCAAGGTTTTATATATGTCTCCCCATTGCTTTCTTGCCTACCTGGTTTCTGTTGTGAGATCCGAGCTTAGTCTGATTTGCTTGCCTTTGTATGTTATACTTCTCTTTTCCCTAGCTGCTTTCAGGATTCTGCCCTTATCTTTGATTTTGGAGAGCTTGATTATTATATGTCTTGGTGAGTGTCTCTTAGGGTCTATCCTTCCTGGGGTTCATTGAGCTTCTTGAATGCTTATCTTTTCACTTTTCAGGATGTTATGGAAATTTTCTTGCAGAAGTTCTTCAACTATCTCCTCTGTGGACTTGTGTGATTCTTCCTGTTCTGGAATGCTGATAATTACTAAGTTATTCCTCTTCATATTGTCCAACATAAATCTTAGGCCTTCTTCAGATTTTTTAATCCTTTTTTGTGTTTGCTCTTCTTTCATAGTAGTGTTGAGAGATATATCTTCTAGATCACTAGTTCTGGCTTCTGTCTCTGCAATTCTACTCCTTTGCCCTTTCAGTGTATTGTCCATTTCTGGTATTCTATTATTAATCATTTGGACCTCTTTCTGTAGGTTTTGGATTGTTTCCAATGCCATATCTATTTTATTTAATTGTTCCTGTAGTGTTCTATTGACGTCTTCCTTATTTTTCTCAACTCCATTGTATAGTGTTTTGATACATTTTATAATCATTTTTCTGAATTCCTTCTCAGGCATTTCCAAAGCCTGCCCATCTTCCAGTTTAGGAGTATAGGTCTACTTTCAGCTAAATTGCCTCAGTCACTTTATCTCATTTCTGGACATGTGCTGATACGGTCATCTGCTTCTGGTTTTTTGGGGGGCATATTCAGGAGTTGTCTGTGGCCTTAATACTTAGATGGATGTGTATTTTGGTATTTTTTTATGCTTTCTGATTGCCTCCAGGTAGATGTGATTAGGAGATGGGCTTCCCTTTTCACTCTTCTTCCTTTATTTCCATGGTTCTTTCAGGCATCTGTGGCTGTTATGATCCTTCCTTGCTTGGTCTTTCCCAAGATGGTGGTTCCGGAAGCAGCTGAGCATCTTGAATTAGAAAGCAATGGACTTCTTGCTTCTGCTACAAATTCCCCTAGCTGTAAGCCTTCCAATCTTCTGACTATTCTTTTATATGTGGTTCAGAGTTCTAGCACCATCCCCTGAGCCTGCTTGGTCCGGTATTCTGTGTTGTTGCTGATGGTGCTCCTCACTGCTCTTCTACCCAATCCGCCATCTTGTTTGTTCCTGAGGATAAGTTTTGTATTCAAAATTCATACACATTTTGTTTCATCTCACTGACTTCAATCCCCACAATGTAACTTCACTTATACCAGTCTCTCCCTGTGTTTCTTGCTTCCATTCCTTCTTCTTCTCTAACCCTTCTGAAGTTTGGCCTTGGGTAAATGCTGCCCTTCTGATCTCAGATGGTTGATTTTTCTACTGTTGCATACATCACTAGTGTTATTGTCCCCCTTATAGCTGACTCCTTCCTTTCTTGATGACTTGGAGCACTCTTGAATAAGGGACTATGAGGAGGGACATAGTTCACGCTCTTCTTGGGTAGTGCTTCTGGGCCCTCAGCACTAGTTTGCCTCCACACCAAACCACAAAATTCCTGCATCTCTTTTCTGTAATTGTCTTCTATCTCTTCTATGACAATGATCAAGTCTTGCTATTGTCAATATCCTTGTGTTGTTGTTGTTGTTAAGTGCCATCGAGTAGGTTCCAACCCATAGCAACCCTGTATAGGGTTTCCAAGGACTGGTGAGCTTGAACTGTCAACATTGCGGTTCAAACCAACTTTGCAGTCTAGCACATTAATCCACAGCGTCACACCAGGACTCCATCCTTATGTTAGCAGTGAGTTTTTCACATGGCACCACATGGACTGAGTTCCTCTTGTTTATCAGGGAGCGCACAACATGGTAGCACTCAATCTTCACAGTTTCCCCAAGAGCTGGTATCACTGCATCCATTTTACAGATGAGAACATTGAGACTCAAAGAGTTTAATTAACCTGTAACTAACCAGCAGCATTATAAAGCAAGCTTCATCTGAGTTAGCATCCTACCAGTGCTACCATCTAATTCACTGTAATTATATAAGTAAAATGAAAACAAGTAGGCCCTGAATAAAGGCATTTGGGCCACCCTCAAAGGAAAGTATATGAGTTATTATGTCTGGATGTTGTGGCCACCATGTTGAATGCTTTGATACCTTTTGTCTTCATCAGAATCCTTGGTTACATCCCAGTTAATGGCAGCAAACATAATTATTGGATAATTGAGGGACTATATTGTGCTCACTGGGTCATATTTTTTATAAGAGAGCCAAAGTTAGATCATGAGCAAGTCGATATTTGATCAGAGCTTTGCTGTATACTTGCACATACCACTTTTGTCCATGGAAACATTGCTGAAATACCACCAGTTCATATTTACTCGTGATTTTAAAAGTTATATTTTTCTAAAGATGAGTTCCTGGAAAGGCATGCAGAGGACAATTTATTTTTCTAAGTCAAATCATACATTCCCTCTGGCCCACACGGCCCCTTCAGAAATGCTTGCTTTCTTTTCTGATTGATCTTTAGCTTCACTAGCAACACTTCATAGAACTTTCTGCTGTCAGTGTCTGCCTGCACTCTGCACTGAGTCCTCATCCCCTCACCTTTTGGCCTACTGGCTAATGATCTGGAACCAAACGCCCGAGGACTGATTTGAGTTGATTGATGAAATGACCATTTTCCTCTTTATTTTCAGCCTTGCAAGAGTTTTCTCCATCAAGAACTCAGGTGAGTTTTATGTTCAAAATTAAAAACATAAGTCCAAACACTGACCCTTTAATGACTGAACCAGCTTACCAGGAACTATGTTTCCAGTGTCCAATCAGGTTCAACCTTCTTCATGCCCTGCCAGTTGCATGGTAGAAGAAGGTACTCAGTGACTGGCCATGCCTTTCACTCTTGCATCATGCTAGCCCCATATTTCCCTCACTTAAACAACACTTTCTTAAAAAAAAGAAATCATTGTGCTTTAGGTGATTGTTTACACAGTAAATTACTTTTCCAGGAATACACAAATGTCCCATGGCATTGGTTGTACTCCCCACAATGTATTAGTACTTTCCCTCTTTGCTCCCAGGATTCCCCGTCCATTTCCATTCCTCCTGTTTTCCTGTCTCTCCCTGTCTTTTTATCTTTGGTTTTAGGCACATGTTGATCAAATCTGAGCAGCACTTTCTTCTCTGGGTGTTACTGTATGTTTTACAGTTCCATCTGTTAGTTGGCTGAGAGGTGACCTCTTAGAGTGTCAAGTTAGAAGTTTGTTTCAGGTCAACAGTCTTAGGAGTTCCTGTAGTGTCCTTCAGACCAGTAAATGTGGTCGCAGACACTGAGTACTGGACATGTACCTGGGGCTGTGGCCATGATGGAGACCTAGTCCCTGTTTTCAGGACGTTTTAATTAGCTAGAGTCATACAACTCAACAGACAAATAGCAATCGTGTGACTCCTAAAGAACTTAAGGTTTCCAAAATACATCATGCTGTTTCACGTTTCTCTGCCTTTGCAGATTCATTTACACTTACTGAATGGGCAAACCTCTAGTGATTCTTCAAGCGTTGTGGTTCTAAAAAGCCTTCCTTGATTGTCCTTCGCAGACAGGCCACCACTGTAAGGGATGCACATGCTTGCACGAATGTCACTCCACTGTCGTTTCTTCCTTGCCCTCCCTACCATCCTCCTGTCTGTGAGCTCCTTGTGGGCTAGGGCCATGTTTTCTTGTTCCTGATATTCCTGGTACTGCTCATACTTCCTGAGTCCAGAGCAGTGCCCTGCCATGGGAGTGCTCTTCCTTACCTCTTCAGATTTCACTTCTGTCCCTTCTCTTCTGGAATTGTGCTTCCTAAATAAAATAGACATCATTGGTGAGCTCTAGAGAAGCAAGTATCTAAATTTCCTAATTGACACTACAAACCCTGGATCATGATAGACAAACTCCTTCAGCTGGGTGGGCTAACCTTCGTTTCTCTCCCCAAGTTCCTGCCTATCTCTAAATTGCAAGACCCCCTCTCATCATTTCACTTTAGCAGCAAGCACATTTCTGGACACATAGTAGGCATGATTAATCATTTAGTACAATATTTATTAATCTTCTATTCTGTACCAATACTGCTAAATACTAAAGGTACAAAAATAAATAGAAAACATTCTACATCCGTGGAACAATCCAGGAGTGGAGGCCGGGTGGCTCATAGAGGGCTTACTTGGAAGGGCAAACTAACAAATAAATGGAAACTTACAATATAATACATTTTCTGCTATGCAAGTTATAGAAGCACAAAGGTGAGGCACAAAAATCAGCCTGGAGTCTCCAGACTTACATACATGAAGGTGTGACAGCTGAGCTAAATTGTGAAAGATGTGTAGGAATTAACCAGGGTGGAAATGATGGAATGGGTGATTTGAGCACAAGAGACATGTGAGCGAAAACAGAGAGTGCCAAACAGTACCACATGTGCAGGAATTTACAGCCTGCTGCAGCTCATTTAATTCATTAAGTTACTACCACTGAATGGTCTGGCAAACTTCTGCTGATCCTTCGGTGCAGTGTGGGAGCAGCAAGGAGTGAAGTGGGAAAATGAACAGAATGGATCCAAGAGGGCTCTGAGCTCCATTATTAATCATTTAGACCAGCCCTGTCCAATAGAAATATAATACAGGCCATATGTATAGCTTCAGATTTGCTACTGGACATGTCTTAAAAAGTAACAATAAATGGAAAAGAATACATCAAAAATATTATCATTCCAGTATGTAATCAGTACAAAGATTATTAATGAGGTATTTTTCTCCCATTCTTCGGTTGTTGTTCTTAGGTACCATAGAGTCAGTTCAACTCATAGTGTCTCTGTGTACAACAGAATAAAACCTTCCCTGGTCCTGCACTATCCTCACAATCATTGCTGTGTTTGAGCCCATTGTAGCAGCCACTGTGTCACTCCATCTCATTGAAAGTATTCCTCTTTTTTCTGACCCCTTACTTTACCAACCATGATATCTTCTCCAGAGACTGGTCCCTTTTGATAACATGTCCAAAGTATGTTATGGTGTTGGAGGAGTATATTAAAAGTACCATGGACTACCAAAAGAACAAATAAATCTATTTTGGAAGTTGTACACCCAGAATGCTCCTTGGTTACCAGGATGGCCAGACATCGGCTCTCATGCTTCAGGAATATTATCAGGAGGGGCCAGTCCATTGGAGAATGATACCATGTTTGGTAAAGTGGAGGGTTGGAGAAAAAGAGGAAGACCCCAACTAGATGGATTGGTACAATGGCAGCAGTAGTGGGCTCAAATGTAGCAACAATTGTGAGGTTGGCTCAGGATTAGGCAGTGTTTTGTTCTGTTGTGCATAGGGTTGTTATGAGTCAGTACTGACTTGATGGCCTCTAACAGCAACAACAAAATTTCCATGGTCATTGATTCTGGATCCAAGTAAAATGAAATCCTTGGCAACTATAGTCTTTTCTCTGTTTATAATGATACTGCTTATTTTTCCAGTTGTGAGAATTTTTGTTTTCTATGTTGAGGTATAATCTATACTGAAGGCTGTAATCTTTGATCTTCATCAGTAAGTATTTTGAGTCCTCTTCACTTTCAGCAAGCAAGGTTGTGTTATCTGCATATCACAAGTTGTTAATGAAACTTCCTCCACTTCTGATGCTGTGCTCTTCCTCATATAGTCTAGTTTCTCAGATTATTTGTTCAGCATCTAGATTGAGCAAGTATGTTGAAAGGATACAGCCCTAGCACCCACCTTTCCTGATTTTAAACCATGTGATATTCCCTTGTTCAATTTGAAGGACCATCCTTTGGTCTATTCACTGGTTCTTAACAAGCATAATTAAGTGTAATGGAATTTCTGTTATTCACATTGTTATACATAAATTGTTATGATCCACATAGTTAAATGTCTTTGCATAGTCAATAAAACAGCTGAATATATTTCTGTTACCCTATAATTTCAGCCAAGGGCATCAGCAATGATATACATTGTTCCATATCCTCTTATGAATTTGGTGATGTCCACATTTAATTTCTAGTAGTCCACATTTGAATTTCTAGTATTTACATGTTGATATATTGCTGCAACAATTTTTAAATTATCTTCAGAAAAACTGTACTTATATGTGATATTAATGATACTGATCAATAATTCCTGCATTCTGTTGAATCATTTTTCTTTGAAATGGGCACAAATATGGATCTCTTCCACTTGACTAGCCAGGGAGCTATCTCCAAATTTATTGAAAGAGATAAATGAGTGCTTCCAGCCGTCTTTCTATTTATTGAAACATCTCAGTTGGTATTGCATCAAATCCTGGAGCCTTGTTTTTGGCCAGTGCATTCAAGTGCAGTTGGGTCTCCTTTCAACGCTACCAGTTCTTGGTCAGATGCTCCTGAAATGAGTGTGCATTGAACAGTTCTTTTGGTACAGAGACTCCGTATATTCCTTCCATCTTCTTTTGATGTTTCCTGCATTAATTGAGCTGCCCTTTCAAATATTCTGTCCAGCTCTTTTACTTCATTCATTTTAGCTCTTCTACATTCAAGAGCAGGTTTCAGAGTCTTTTCTGTTGTCCATTTTGGTCTTTTCTTTCTTTTCTTTCCTCTGGTAGTGTAGTGGTCATGAGTTGGGCTGCTAACCTCAAGGTCAGCAGTTCTAAACTACCAGCAGTTCCATGGGAGAAAGATGAGACTTTCTGCTCCCATTAAAATTTACAACCTCAGAAATCCAATACCAGGTCTCTATGAGTTGGAACCGACTCCACGGCACACCACCACCACCACCAGTGACCTTTAACTTTCTTCATATATGAAGCCCTTGATGTTATGCCACAACATAACATCAGGTCTTCAGTCAGTAGTGTTCAATGCATAAAATCTGTTCTTGAGATGGTCTCTGATTTCAGGTGGGATATACTCAATGTTGTATTTTGATTCTCGTGGACTTGTTTTCATTTTCTTCAGCTTCAACTTGCATTTGAATATGAGCAATTGATGGTTTGTCCAATACTTGTCCCATGGCCTTATTCTGACTGATGATATTGAGCTTCTTCATTGTCTCTTTACACAAATGTAGTCACTTTAATTTTTGTGTATTCCATTTGATGAAGTCCATGTTTATAGTAGTAGCCATTCATGTTGTTCAAAAGAAGTCTTTTTTACATACTAAGCCTACAAAATTTAGATGTATTTCATACTTACAGGACCTCTCAATTTGGACCAACTGAATTTCAAGTGTTCAAAACCCACATGTAGCCAGTCGCCATTGTATTGGACAGTACAGATTTAGACACTACCATGTAGGTAGTGGAGAGACACAAAAGGACTTTAATGCCAAGATTGTCTACCCCTTCCTCCATGGCATTCTAAGAAGTCACAATATTAAATTGAATACTACAGTTTTCTTTTACTTCATTGTAGTTGTATAGAAGCTACGGAACAGAGACTGGGGAATAGGAAAATGGATTACAAAGTACACATACATAAACAAGGACAGGCCAATAACTCAGTAGAAATAACAGCATGTAAGCATTTGTTGTTGTTAGGTGCCATCGAGTCAGTACCAACTATAGCGACCCTATGCACAGCAGAACAAAACACTGCCCGATCCTGGGCCAACCTCACTACAGTTGCCACACTTGAATCTATTGGTATTGCCACTTGGCCAATCCATCTCGTTGGGGGTCTCCCTCTTTTTCTCTGACCCTCCACCTTAAAAACATGATATCTTTCTCCAGTGACTGGGCCCTCCTGACAACATGTCCGAAGTATGAGAGATGAAATTTAGCTATTCTGGCCTCCAAGGAGCACTCTGGCTGCACTTCTTCCAAAACAGATCTATTGGTTCTTCTGGTAGTCCATGGCACTTTCAATATTCTCCTCCAATGCAAGCATTAAGAACTTGCAATTCTGATCACTGTGTTTCAGTGAAGAAAATATACCAACAATTATTGAGGGCCCATCATATGCTATTAACATTACTAAACTTTCAACTTTTTAAATCATATCTCATTCTCCCAACAATCATGGAGTCTGATATTGTGACTTTTTATTAATAGATTAAAAAAAACTTGATTTTTAGATAGAGTAATATTAAACCACTGGATAGAGGTAGAGTGGGAATTGGAACTCAACATTCACTTCCCAGCCCCTGTTCACCACAGAAGAACTAGTATTTGAGTTGGCCTTAATGGTGGACCAGAATGCCTAGTAGTTGGATAAATGAACGCAACTCCATAGGACTCCTTCTGTTGTCTTTAGAACTGCACCCTCTCCTGGTGTTTTCCTTCCTTCATAACCACCTCCGCTTGTCTTCTTTGAGGCTATTCTTCTTCCTTCCATATAAATACTGTAACACAAGCATTGTGCAGCTCTACTGCCAGAAGTTAGATTTCCCACATGTTGCCCTTGTTCCTCCTTCATGTTTTCATTACACTTCACCTTAAATTTCTCATGTTCTCCCCCACTGCCGTCTTATCTATATATCAGGGCAGGTCAACCATTCATTTCATTAGTAAATCCTGGCAAAGAGCTGCTCTGTGTCCAGCACTATGCCTCAGCTACTGCAGACTTACATTTATGCTGGAGAGACACAGACTAATAAGATAGCTCAGCCTTGTGATAGCTCAAGTTTAGGTAGTTGATGTGATGAAGAGGAGACGATCCCTAGGAACATATAGAACAACATAGATAAAGCATTATGGGAGCAGAGATGAAGATATAACTAACTCTGTTTAGAAGAATCAGGGAAGGACTCTCAGAATTAAGATGATTTAGACAAATTGTAAAGGGTGTTCCGTTTGTAACAATATAAAACATGGGGGGTGTGTCTGACAAAGCTCAAAATAGGATGGTAGATGTGGGAAATTTTAAGTCTAGGCAAGAGCATTCAATCTTGAATGTTCCATGGGCTGCCAAAAGAACAAACAAATGAGTCTTAGAAGAAATACAGCCAGAATTTCCCTAGAAGTGAGGATGGCAACGTTTTGGCTTTCTTCCTTTGGAACCAGCATCAGTAAAGACCAATATCTGAAATAGGACATCATGTTTAGTACAGAGTCAGTGGAAAGAAGGGAAAATGTCAATGAGATGGATGGATCCAATGGCACAATAGACTCAAACACACCAATGAACATAGTGGCGACACAGGACCAGGCCAGGCTTAGTTCAGTTGCACACTGGATTGCCACAAGTTGGGGTGACCCTACAACAACAGAGAAGAGCCAATGTGGGAGAAAGGAGCAGAGGCCAATGGGAATGGAATGAGATTCAGGTCATGATTGGATTCATGTGTGATCCTACAGACAATGGAGAGTTCTTAGAAAATTTTAGGGGAAAAAAAAATGACACTGTGGCATTGGTTAGAGCAGGTAAAAGCTCAGGGAAGCTATCCAAATGGTTGGTCCCTTCATTTTCAAACAAACAATTAGGATGACCATCTGCTAAATTCATTTCTTCATTCATTTCACTTTGGATTGGGTGATGCTATATCTTCTAAACACTTTTAACTTCACTTTTTCCCTGATATCTCTTCACATTTCAGCCCTAAACATGAAGGTCAAAATAAAAAGATGAAAGAGAATGACCCATGTAAATTGGAACCGCAGAAAAGAGAAAAGAACTCACATGGAAACCATCTTTTCAAGGTATCTGTGTTCTTGAATTCCTGGTCAAACAGTGCACTTCAAATGTGTAATAAAATCAGTTCTTTGGAGGGCTGTTAGAGGCAGAGACATGCAGATCTCCAGAGGCAGAAAATGCAATGAGTGTTGGGTATTTTATGGAGCAAATGCGTATGACAATACATGAAGCCCCAGATTTCTCACTGATTAGCTTCAAAGTCTTAGACGCAGGGCTAGGCCTAATGAGGTAAGCAAAGTACCCAGTGTGCAAAATTTAAGGAGACCCTCAATCTCAGAGGCTGAGCCTGCATTTGCACAACAGGAATGAGTGCCTCCTTGAATGTTGTGCCATGGAACCTGCTTAGAAGAGAAACACAGACTCTAAGCTCAGTCATCTCATCTTTAAAAGGAGACAATAAAAATCCCTACCCAATTACCAAGGAGCCCTGATGGCAAACTGGTTAAAAATGCTTGGCCACTATTTGAAAGGTTAGTAGGTCGAACCCACCAGCTGCTATATAGGAGAAAGATGCAGAAATCTGCAAAGATTGTTGTTGTTAAGTACCATGGAGTTAGTTCCAACTCATAGAGACCCTGCAAAGGGTTTCCGAGGCTGTAAATCTTTACGGGAGCAGAAAACCTCACCTTTTCCCCACAGAACAGCTGGTAAACTCTATGGGGCAGTTCTACTCTGTCATATAGAGTTGCCAGGAGTCAAAATCAACTAAACAACAACTGTTATTTTGTTGTTGATGTTTGTACACAGCTACCATCCTCACTGCTGTTTCAGTTCTACCTTGTTTGTGGTGACAAGATGAATAATGTGCATGAAAGTGTTTTAGAAGCTGTAAACTATCATAGAAATGAAATGTATTGCTGTTGCTTTGCTTTTATTAATATTATACATTCTGTGTATATCCCTAAGCCAATTGGCATTATCCTTCTCATAGTAGTTAGTGTGATGGAGGCTTAAACAATACATACCTCCTGGACTACCAACTAGGCTCAAAATGTTCTTGGATATTTCTTTGAGATTTACCTATATTATTACCTTTTAACAGCAAATTATCCCCGTGCTTTCAGCAGAGCTAGTGTAAGTTAAACTACAGTGTGGGACTGAACTAGCTATGAGCCTGATTTGTAGTTTAGACCCAGAAACTTGCTGGACCAGCCTGGGTATTTGCACAGAGTATCAAGATGCAACATAATTCCAAGTATGGAGAAGTCTTTAAGCAATATAGATAGGGAAGCCCAATTACCATTACTGAATGTTTTGTTCAAAAATTCTACAGAAGCATTTTGATCAAAATGGAGAAATTAAATTTCACATTTTCATGAACGCCAGACTTTTTGGTTTTGAACTTTAAACCAAAAATATCCCCTGAAGTATGTACATGAGGCAGGAATAACTACGAAAAGGAGGGTGACAATGAGTGCACAATTTTTGTTAAGTGCCGTTGAGTTGGTTTCGACTCATAATGACCCTGTATAGGGTTTCCAAGGAGTGACTGGTGGATTTGAACCATCAACCTGTGGTTCAAACTGAACTTGCAATCCAGTGACCTACCCTGCAGCACCACACTAGCACAGTTAGAAGAAGGTAATCAAGACACTAGATTGTGCATGTAGATAGTATTGAATTGGTATATGTTCTGCTCTGTATTTGCTCAACAACAGCAAAGAAATACTTAAGAACAAGGGAGTAGCAATCTAGCAGGTAATGGCAAGCCCATAAATGAGTGATAGGCGTGAATCATAAGGAGCTGATTGTGAGCATAGGAGCAAGGCAGTAGAGGAGCATACATTAAGGGTGCTGACCACGGGAAAGAAGAGGCACAGGTCAGCTCTTTTTCAGTGCTGGCTGTAATGATGTAGTCAAGTACAGGGCCAGGACACCACCAAAGGCACCTATTCCTACTTGTATGGGATGGGTTTGAATTTTGGAAGTGGTCAAGAGTAATTTGAAATATGTTAGGTAAAAGAGTGGGTGGTCTAGTTGGGCTCTGTAGGGTCGAATATAAATTACAAATAAGTAGCTGTACCAACCATTGTAATTCAAATGACCCCAATGAACATTCCCAAGGACAGGCCCAGGCTGAGTGAACGAGTAGTGGACTACAGAAGAGTTGTGGGATGACATCAAGAACATCATACATGAAGAGAGCAGAAGGTCATTAAGAAGACAAGAAAGAAAGAAAAGGTCAAAATGGATGTCAGAGGAGACTCTGAAACTTGCTCTCCAGCGTAGAGAAGCTAAAGCAAATGGA